ATTCCCTCTTCATCTGGAGCATCTCTCCTATGAAGACAGGCAGAGGAAGTTGTGGTTGTTCAGCCTGGAGAAGAGGAGGCTCCAGGGAGACCTTCCAGTGCCTGAAGGGGCTCCAGAAAAGCTGGGGAGGGACTTGGAACAATGGCAGGGAGGGATGGGATGAGGAGGAGGGATGAAAAGTGGCAGAAGGGAGATTTAGATTAGACATGAGGAGGGAATTCTTCACTCTGAGGGTGGGGAGACCCCGGGACAGGTTGCCCAGGGAAGCTGTGGCTGCCCCATCCCTGGAAGTGTTAAGGACAGGTTGGATGGGGCTTGGAGCAACCTGCACCTCTGCACAAACAACTTGTTTCAAGGCATGAGCTGTTGGGCTCCTGGATATGGTTTCTTAGGCCAACAGTTGGACTCGATGATCTTAAAGGTCTATTCCAACTAAAACGGTTCCATGGGACTGGATACCAGGTTTCCTGGGTCTTTTTGTGCATATCCCACTGCAGATCACTCAGCCTCACGGTATTCCAGGTATCCTGATCCCAGGATCCCCTCTGACTAACACAAGGTAACATTTGAACACGACCAATGGGAGAACTAATTAGATAATGACCACTTCACATACAAAGAGCCGAGCAGCCGTTTCATCAAGGGAGATTATAATTGCAGCTGATTAATCCAGCAGCAACTGCCAGGAAAAATATCCATAGAGAAGGGCACTCAGTGCTCAGCTATTCATTCCCATGCCATGCCTCACTCCCAGGGGAGCTCAGCCACACATAAAAGCTTTCAGCCACAGCGTTGTCCCTAGGACTTCGTCTGCTCAGCCTGTGGGTGAGTTGGGTTTTCTCAGCTCTCTCAGATTCCTCTTTTTTTGATTTTCAGCCAAAAAAAATCCAACAAAAAAGAAACTTGTGGTTTGAGTGTTTGTTTTTCCGTTTGTTTGGGTTTTTTTTCCCCACAGACTGTTTATCCCTGAGGGCTTGGTCACGGGATGTTCAGCTGCAAAGGTGACAGCGAGCAGGACTCGTGCGGCGACGGCGAGAAGGGCTGGGCATGTCCTGGCTCCAGCGGGGGCTGCCACCAAAACCCCATGGGGGCCACGACCCTGTCCCCTTGTCACAACCATGGCAGCCTCAGCAGGGACATCGAAGGGTCCTGCCAGAGTGAGCCACGAGGCTGCCAACCCTTGGATCCATGCCCAGCCCCGAGCTGCTGCCCGGCACAGCGGGGCTGCCACCCGGGCAAGCCGCGGCGGCGGGTGGAGGTGAGCCCGGTGCCACCTCCCTGTCCCCCACCTGTGAGGATCCATCGGCGCCCCTTGCAGCAGCACCTGCCATTCCAACACTGCCAGGAGCCAGACAGCTGTGGGAAACCCCGGCGGAGAGTGGAGCAGTGCCCCGAGGAGGATCCCTGTCCCTCTGTCACCCTGCACCCTCTGCCATGCCAACGGCGCTGTCCTTGTGTTGTCCCCTGCCACCCCCGGCCCATCCAGCGCTGCTGCCCGGTCCCTCTGCCCCCACAGCTGAATCCCTGCCAGCAGCATAAGGTCCCTCTCTTGCCACCCTGTCTGTAGAAGAAATGAGCTCTGGGACCCTTCTCCAGCCCATGTCCCCACGTCACCCAGCCTGGAGGACGCTGCGCTCCTCGCTGATGCTCCCACCTCCTCAAGGCCATGGCTGATGGCTCATTGCTGCTCTTAGGTTGGACATGAGGAAGAAATTCTTCACTCTGAGGGTGGTGAGACCCTGGAATAGGTTGCCCAGGGAAGCTGTGGCTGCCCCATCCCTGGGGGTGTTGAAGGGCAGGTTGGATGGGGCTTGGAGCAGCCTGGGCTGGTGGGAGGTGTCCCTGCCCATGCAGGGGGTTGGATCTAGATGCACTTTGAGGACCCTTCCAGTCCAAACCATTTGATGATTCTTTGCACACTGGATGCAGGGGTTGCAGATCCCTGCTTGACCCCAGCACTGACACTTGAAATTCCAAGGATTCTTCCATTCTAGCCAGTAGGTTTTAACCATCCAAACCCTGTTTGGATCTTCCTCAGGGGAGCTCAACCATTTCCTCACTCTCTGGAGGAGATGAGCAGCCTGGGCATGGAGAAACCAAACAGAAAGGGCCTGAGCAAGGTTGAGGAAACATCAGCCATGTATTCACCTTCTCCATGCATTCAGCAACTGGGATTTCAAGGCTGTTTAAAACCAGAAATGGGACTGCACTGGGAAAAAAAGTACACACTGTGACTGCTTGGGCATTAAGGACTCCTGCAATTTAATTTTCTCCCCATGTATTGAAGAATAAAATTGAAATACAAAATGAGTTGACACTTTGTTCCTTTCTATTTCTCCCCCTAAAATCTCACAAAGGTTGTAAGGAGATGTCAAAAGCCACCACAATTCTCACAAGGAAACTTGTGCATTTAAAACGAATATTAGAGTTGACACAGGAGGGTTTCAGGCTGTAACAGTTTCACCAGGATGAGCTGTAAAACCTTCCTTTCCACCGTGGTTACCCACTGCAGGACCAACGGGTGGACTTCACCCAGGTCCATCAGCAGGTGATCTAGGTACAGTTGCCAGCACCTTCATCAGCCAGATAGCAACACTGCAGTGGGAGCCCAGAGATGTTCATCATGATAATGAGCTCATGCCCCAGCACATGAGGTGTGGCCCTGCATGCCACGAATGCCTTTCACTCCTCTGGGAGATGGGGAGATGCAGGCCAGGCTCTTCCACCAGACCTCCTAACCCTCTGCTTCTGTCTCACTTGGCCAGAAAAGCCTCCTGGTAGGTGCATTAGAACACACATTTTTGTTTCTTTGGAGTGCTCAAGCATCACCCACTGTGTCCTCACAACCACTGGCACCCACCAGGGAAAATCAGAAAGAAAACAAGGAGCTCATCCTGGTTTCCTTAAACCAGAAAACCACAACAACAACTTTTTCTCACACCTCATCTTAACCCAAAGAAAAACCACTCACATCTGAATTCTGACCTCAGAAATCCCTGCTTTTATTGTCTGTTTTCCTCCCTGAAGCCAGTTCCCAGGCTCCATCCCAGCCTGGTGTCCCAAGGGCTGACTCAGAGCCCACAGACCAAAGACCAGCTTAGTCCTCATGCTGGTGCTTCCAGGTCAGCCTTGGTCCATCTTTTCTTCTCAGCTGCTTTTCACCAGCCACCCCAGCTATTTCATCCCATTTAGTCCATCACAGCCCCGGGACCATCCCAGCCTGCCCAGGCCCCATCCTCCAGCACCTTCAGCTTCTCACTCCCATTTGTTGCCACCTGTAGATTTCCCATGTCCACCCAGTTATCCAGGGCACTAACAAGACATTAAACAGCACCAGCACCAGCATCAGAGTTTTTGCCCATCCAGTCCATACCTCCACCAGTTTCAAGCTCAACATAAGGCAAACTTCTTTCCTGTGAGGGTGACAGAGCCCTGGGACAGGCTGCCCAGAGATAGTGTGGAGTCTCCTTCTGTGGACACATTCCAAACCCATCTGGATGTGTTCCTGTGGGATCTGCTGTAGGTGACCCTACTCTGGCAGAGGCTTGGACTGGATGATCTCCACAAGTCTCTTCCAAATCCATCTGGATGTGTTCCTGTGGGATCTACTGGCCATGATCCTGCTCTGGCAGAGAGCTGGACCAGATGATCTCCAGAGACCCCTTCCAACTCCAACCACTCTGTGACTCTGTGATTCTGTGACCAGTTTAACTACAAGGCTGCCATGGGACACTGTGCCAGAAGCCTTGGAAAAATCCAAGGTAACATCATGCATGACATTCCACCATCCATCTACAGAGCCAACCTCTTCGTCACCGAAACCGACCAGCACAATTTGTCTTTGGTGACTCTGAGTTGGCTCTTCCCCATCACCTGCTTGTGCTTCAGGCACCTGGAAATGCTCCTCACAGGTAACAGAAGGGGAAGGCTGGGACATCAGCACTGTGCACATCATAGATCACGGCTCCTGACTCATAGGTCACTCGTCAGCCACCACTCAGAGTCCTTGGACCTCTCTGGAGATGGTGAATAAGAACCTTATTACCTGCTTCTCATGGTCCATGTGTGGCTTAGGCAACTCGGGTCCTTTATGTGCACCACTCGGTGACTACATTATAATTAAAAGATGCTTATCAGGAATCATGAGTCAAGAAGAACATGCCAAGCACTGGGAACAGCATCCAAGTGGAGGAGATGTTTTATGAATAAATAATTTAGTTGTCGTTCCTGCAGCGTGTTTCATTTACAAGGGGAAGACTCTGAAGCCTATAAAAGGTCTCTGGCTCTTTGCCCCTCACCATCTGCTCTCCTGGTCAGCATCTGCCTTCCCTCGTGGACTTGGTAAGACACAGCCTGAAACAGCTGGGTTCATTTTTGGGTGGACATCTGGATTCAGGAGGTAGCAGAAGTGGGATGCTCACACTGTCCTTCAGACCATGCTCTACACAGAGGGGCTGGAGGATGGTGGACTAAGCCAAGGGAGAAGCTACTGAGGGGCTTGGGTGAGGGATTTACAGCAAAGCCACTGTGTGCTGAGGTGCTTCATGGCTGCTTCTGCTCTTGGATGGGAAAAAATCAATTATAAGGTCAGAGAGGAGGTTTGGACTTAATATGACCTGTACTGGGCAACTGCAAGGGTTTATTTTAACGGAGCCATGGGATGGCTTGGGTTGGAGGGACCTAAAAGATCATCTAGATCCCACCCCTGCATGGGCAGGGACACCTCCCAGCAGCCCAGGCTGCTCCAAGCCCCATCCAACCTGCCCTTCAACACCCCCAGGGATGGGGCAGCCACAGCTTCCCTGGCCAACCTGGCCCAGGCTCTCCCCACCCTCCCAGGGAAGCATTTCCTTCTCATGTCTGATCTCCCCAGATCAGCCCTTGGAGCCAGGCCACGCTGCCCTGCGCAGGGCTCAGCAAAGCAAAACTCAAATGGAGGAGATGGAAAAAGCAAACCCGCCTGGCTCCCTGTCTTTCAGGTTTTCCCCTCCAATTCTGACATGATCTACTCTTCTGGAAGAGAGTCCTACTTCAACCTGAACTCCACCTGGTACGACCCCTCGGGGTCGTGGCTGGACACGCGCCGCACGCCGTTCCGCTACGCGTCTGGCTCCTGCTGCTCGGGCTGCGAGGGCGAGGGCGCCGAGGGCATGAGGGGCCACAACTACCGGCACTACGGGTACCGGCAGTCCGTCTGCTCCGAGAGGTGCCAGGGGGGCACTTCAGCTGGCTCCTGCCACGGTGGAGGGGGCTCTAGCTGCGTCAGGAGACCCACCTACAGCTACGGGTCATCGGGGGGATGCCAGGGCTACGGGAGGTCGGTCTGCGCCGAGAGGTGCCACGAGCCCTCGGGTTCGTGCCAGGGAGGTGGTTCCAGCTGTGTCAGGAGACCCAGCTACAGTTATGGGTCATCTGGAGGATGCCAGAGCTATGGGAGGTCGGTCTGCTCTGAGACCTGCCACGGCTCAGGGCACCAGGAAGGGCAGTCCAGCTATGGCAAACCAAGCCAGAGCATCTCGCAGTGCTGCCCCGTGCAGACCTGTGCACCTCCAATGCAGAAGTGCTCTCCTCCAATGCAGAAGTACTGTCCTCCCATGCAGAAGTGTTCTCCTCCAATGCAGAAGTGCTCTCCTCCAATGCAGAAGTGCTCTCCTCCCATGCAGAAGTGCTCTCCTCCAATGCAGAAGTGCTGTCCTCCAATGCAGAAGTGTTCTCCTCCAATGCAGACCCCTCAGCAGATCTGTCACCCTCAGCAGATCTGTCGCCCTCAGCAGATCTGTCCCCCTCAGCAGATCTGTCGCCCTCAGCAGATCTGTCACCCTCCAATGCAGACCCCTCAGCAGATCTGTCGCCCTCAGCAGATCTGTCACCCTCCAATGCAGACCCCTCAGCAGATCTGTCACCCTCCAATGCAGACCCCTCAGCAGATCTGTGCCCCTCAGCAGATCTGTCCCCCTCAGCAGATCTGTGCCCCTCCAATGCAGCAAAGCCACATGCCAGTGCCAAAGTCCATCCCACTCCAGCAGCAAAAGCAGATCTGCCAAATACCAGCCCAGAAGACAAAGTAGAGGACACTAGGAATGGGGACAACTCTTGCCACGTTGCCTTGATGGTCACCACATCCCATGTTGCTCCTGGATCTCTACTCTTCCTGTCATCCTGCTTGTAACATGCTTTGAAGGAGTGACCCACCATCTCTCTGAAATACTTCATGCTGTTCACCTCCTTATTTCACAACAGACATGGAAGCAATAAAACGTTATGATTCATAACCCCCTTGCATCAGTGTTTTCTACTTCATCTCTCTGAGTTGCTCCTGGTCCTTCTTGTGGCCAAAGGTGGTGTTTGCAGCATCCCCATTCACCCTCATGTTGAGGTTCCTGGTTGATTCCACCTGGTGTCTTTTTATTCCTTCTCCAGACAACTTGCTCCTTGAGAAAGATCCAACAGTTTTGCTCGTAGACTCTTTAATCCAGTCTTTAATCCAGCTATTAAATATTCATATATTGATGTAAAAACACCTAAAGACACACACTTCACAGGGGAGGTTGCCAAGGGGGACTGTTCCCCACAGAGGTGAAACCAAGAGGATCTGCTTGGACGTTATTTCATTCACTGAGGAGGCAATGGGTGCAGTTTGATTTGTAACAGAAGCCTCCAAAAATAAGCCCTGGGAAAAAAGTCAGGGAGGGGATTCAGGAATAGGAACAGCAGAGCTAGTGTGGAGCAAGAGGAGATGCTGAAGCTGCTGAGAGAGATAATGTCCATGGTCCATTAGGCCTTCAGAGATGTTCTCTGGGCCCAGGAGAGGTCCTGCAGGACCTACATGTCTTTAGCAGCTGGTTCTCAGTGCTGCTCAGTGCCACACTGAAAGGTGGGAGATGTTGGGAGAGTGAGACCTCCCAGAGCTTAGGACTTTGATCCAGGGAGAAATGGGGATCACCTGGCCAGGAGTACATGTCAAATGGGAACTAGAAAAGGTGCTTGTAGACATCAGGGGGCACTTGGTTGGACTCAGCATCTCTAAAGGAGTGAGAGGCCCCAAACTCCTTGTAAGATTCAAGGTTAGAAGAGGAATCACCATGGAGGATGTTGCAGCAAAGCAGGGACCTGGAGCCAGTGACTCACAGCATCGTGTCCCAGGAGGCTCCTCACACCTCACCCAGCCCAGGTCAGAGCCTCCATTGTCTCCATCTCCCAGTGCCCTGCCTGGCCCAGCCTGCAGGATGTGACACATCACAGAATCAGCCACTTGGCAACAGTTAGGATGGAAATCTCTCCTGCAGCACCATCTGGAGAAGGAAAAGAAGTAGAAGCAGGTGCAGGGTGTCCCTTCCTGGGCAGGAGGTTTTATGGGTGGGCACACGGGCTTGCCCTGCCACTGTAGCCAGCCTTCCTCACCAGCCTCTTCCTCACCATGTGCAGAGGCTGAAGCCATCGTGTGTTGCAGAGCATAGTCCACATGTCAAGCACAGCCTGGTGGGGTGGCCAAGTCCAGGAGCAGCCCAGATGCCCACCCCATGGACTCTGCACTGGACTGGGATGACTCAGAGACCCCCTCACATGCAACTCAGGGGTGGAACTAGATGATCTTCAAGGGCCCTTCCAACTCACACCATTGGATGATGATGATGGTGAACTCCACTTGAGCAAACCTGGGGGCCTCTGTGGAAGGAGAAGTACCAGCAAAACCATCACAGCAAGGGATGAGGTGGTGGCAAAGGCATCCAAATCTATCTTCAGATCCCTTCCAGAGCTTGCTGGGCTCTGGAAGAAAAGATTGGAGGACACCTCAGGAGGGCAGCTCCTACTTCCCACTCCCCTGTTCAGGGTGCCCCCCTGATCATTCTAAGATCTTGGGGTTTTTTTTTTCTCTGCTCCTTTATAAATAGAGACCAAATAACCAAGAGATGGAAGAATCATGACCAAGTTTAAGCTACCCTGAAGCCATGATCCAAACTGGGGAACAACCCAACTCCTGAAAGTCCTCTTAGGACAATTCCATAAAACCAAGAAATTACCCAAATCAAACAAACCTTCTGCCCACTGAGGGGTGCAGAGAAGCTTCTCCCAGAGACCACCAGCTCTGCAGAAGATATGTGGGGCTCAGGAAGCAGCTGTAGGGCCTGTCTTGAACTTAGCTCCAGGTCTCCAACACGCATGAGCAGCCTCCCCAGCAGGGCATGCTCAGGTGGGTGTCCCTGTCGCTGAGAGGGATGATAAACATGTTTGTCACCATCTGCGTGATCTGGGCTGTAATTACTGAATCGTGAAGAAGAGTTTCACAAGAATTGATGTTCTCCTGATGTTTGTGAAATTATCCCCCAGCCACGTTGTGATTTCCTCACGTAGCAGTTCCCACAAGTGATTCAGCTCCATTGGTTGGCAATGAAGCTTCTTGACTATTTTCTTTTCATTCAATCTGGGTTATTATTAATATTACAGTGGCCTCTAGAGTCCTTGGTGAGCTCAGGCCTGCTGTGCTCTGTAGGCAGAAAGACATTTTTCTCCCCAAAAACCAGGTGTCAAATCAAGGGAGACACAGATCCTGGTGTCCTTCACAGTTCACACATGATGAAGATGGAGGCACAGAGGGAGGAAGGAGCTCCAAGAACCACACCACCCTCCTCCCTTCTGCTTTCTCCTGTCAAAGTATAGTAAAGGTGACCAAGAGCAGGTGTTTGGAACAAGTATTGTGGGAATGGGACACTGCTGGAGACCTTTTGTCCTTCCAAGCCTCCTGCCTGGGTGCTCTCTGTCTCCTGGAGGGTTTAAAATTCCTTCTCTTTGGGTTAAAAGTCTCTCATTGAAAGAAAGGACTGACTTGAAATATTTTAACACACCTTTTAGTGCTTCTTTGCTGGTTCACTCAGCAACTGGTTTCTCTTTGATATTGCTCCACGGGCACGTCCCACCACCTGCACTTGCCCACTCCCATTGTCCCAACTGGACACGTCCAGCAGGACATTGCTTCAAAGTCCATCTCCCACCTTTGAACCCCAAACCCAAACCACACTGACATATTTACAGCCCAGAGATGACCCAACTCCTCTTGTCACCCCCATGGCCGAACCACTCCCTCCAGCAGAGACATTGACCCCACGTTGGGCCCACACCAGCCCCTGGGGCTCAGGGATGATGCTCAAGCTCCTTGTTTTTGGGGCACCCCCCACCTAGACCAGCCCTGGGCTCTGTGCTCACCTTCTGCCACCCCATCATGTGCTCATCCTTGCTCAATCCTCTTTGCCTCTTTCGCCCACTCACAACCTAGATTTTTTTCCCAAGCTGCCCAAACACACTAATTTTTCCTCCACTCCACCAGGAGCTTTTTTGTTCCCTTTCAAGCCCCTTGTTATTTTCTGGATCCCTCTGTGACCTGGTCCACCAGCCCAAACCATCAGCCCACCTTCCCCTCCGCTACCATTTTTGCACTGCTGACTCGGGCTCACAGCTGCTCTGCATCAGGGACAAGAAGCAGGTGGATGCTTTAGTCAAAGGCAACAAGACCATCCAGAAACCTCCCCATCCCTGCTCATGAACCACACCAGGCGTGGGGGGCAATTAACATTTTTCTGGAGTAACGAGGGGAACAGTGATTCCAAAGGCGGGATATTGATCTGCTCCTAATCCCATGAGTCAAAACAGCAGTGCAAAAACTCTCCAATTAGCAAAGTGCTTGAGGTGGTGAACAAGCAAGTCCCTCCAGTGGGGCCTCATCTTGTTTCCGGAGGGAAAACACGGGACTCCCTATAAAAGGTCTCGCTCCACGTTTCTCCTCATCGTCTCAGCTTCGTGTCTCCTCTTGAGTTCCTGCTCAACAGGGTAAGTCCAGATTGATCAACCTTCTGCACGTCTAATGTTCACCAGCTTTGTGCTGATCCTGAGGTCTTGACCACTTCTCTTACACTTCTTGTCTCTGTGGCCATCTCTGCTGCTCATTCCTTCTACCCAGGTTGTCTTCTCCATCCACATCTCTCCGTAGATAATAGAGAGCAACTAGAAAAGCTTTAAACTTCCTGGTCCAGATGGCTCTGGATGGGACTTTTCAGGTCCAGCTCTGGACTCTGTCCTGCCACCATTTCTCACCAATCTCTAAGTGCTCTAACTTCTATCATATATTTGCTAAACATAGAAGAGAAAGGAAAGACCTGCCCAGAAGAAGGTGGCACAGAGTCCCCTGTGCAGGTCAGGGACCAAACGTGCATTGCTAATTTCTCTCTCTTCTTCAAGAACTTGGCTTCTCGTGGGGATTTATTCTTGCTATGGAGTCCCATCTAACTCAACCACCATTGCTGACAGGCCAAGGCCTCTCACCTTTGCACCCACTCAGAGCTGACCATCTTTCCAACAGGTCTGCAAAGATGTGCTCCCGCCAGGACAGAGACCAGTGCCACCAGCAGGAACGGGCCTCATGCCACAGCAGTGAAGGGTGTCATGGGGGCAGTGGTGGGTCTGGGTGCCACAGGAGCAGTGGTGGGTCTGGATGTCATGGAAGCAGTGGTGGGTCTGGGTGCCACAGGAGCAGTGGTGGGTCTGGATGTCATGGAAGCAGTGGTGGATCTGGGTGCCACAGGAGCAGTGGTGGATCTGGATGTCATGGAAGCAGTGGTGGATCTGGGTGCCACAGGAGCAGTGGTGGATCTGGGTGCCATGGAAGCAGTGGTGGATCTGGGTGCCATGGGAACCGTGGTGGATCTGGATGCCATGGGAGCAGTGGGGGATCCTGCCATGGAAGGCCACAAGATTGCCAGCAGCAAGTTTATCAAGTGTCCTCCAACATGAAGTGAGGACCTTATCTGCATGGTGTACACATGCACATCCTTGGTCTGATGCTGAGTTCAGAAGCTTTTCATGTCTCTTTGCAGTCCTCCAAGAAAATGTCTTCTCTCCCTCCCTGGCCAGCCCTGTGCCTCTGGTGAGCTTTCTGTGGGTGCTCAAATAAACTGTGTGCATTGACTGGTGCCACGTTCTCTGTGTCACTCTGTGATCAGCCACTACAAGCCAACAGGAGGTTGAGGGTTGTGATTTTTAGAATCATAGAATCATCATGGAATGGTTTGGGTGGGAAGGGACCCTAAAGATCATCTAGATCCACCCTGCCCTGCACGGGCAGGGACACCTCCCACAAGCCCAGGTTGCTCCAAATCCAACATTAGATCCTTGAACACTTCAGGGATGGAGCAGCCACTTTGAAGATCACTGAATGGATCATCTGGGTGATCTTTAAGGTCCCTTCCAACCCAGACCATTCCATGATCTAAAGATCATCTAGATCCAACCCCTGCATGGGCAGGGACACCTCCCACCAGCCCAGGCTGCTCCAAGCCCCATCCAACCTTCAACCCCCCCAGGGATGGGGCAGCCACAGCTTCCCTGGGCAACCTGGCCCAGGCTCTCCCCACCCTCACACTCCACAATTCCCTCCTCAGCTCCAACCTCCAGCTCCCTCTCCCACTTTTCATCCATCCCCCTTGTCCCACCACTATAAGCCCTTGTCAAACATCCCTCCACTCACGTTTCATGTCACATCATGAGACACCTGGTGCCTGTTTCATGGTCCTGGGGTGACCCTGCCCAGACACAGGTGCTACCACCCCCTCCCTTCTGGACTCCAAAGGAAAAAGAGAGACAATAAGTGGTTTTAACTGCTGCCATTTTAGGAGGGCAGCTCAGGCTTCTGCAGTGCAGGCAGGTCCCCTCCACCCCTCCCCACTGCCTTCCCACAGAGCTGGACACCCAAAACCCCCACCAAGACCGCACAGGCTGCATCTCCCAAGTTCTTGGGGCCAACTATGGACACAACCATGGGGCAGAAAGTGTCCTAGAAGCAAAGCCACCTGAGATGGGGCAGAAACCTGTTTTTTTTGCCCACATCTGGCCCCAAGACACCACCCACGGGGCAGGTATCTCCACGTGCTTGTGACAAACTCCCCAGCAAGCTTTTCTAGAAACCCTTTGCCCAGCACCTGAAGAGCACCTGGGTCGAGATCCTGGAGTTAAGCAACGAACTGATGAATTTCTTCTCAGCTTGTAATTAAAAATGACTGGTGTCATTTCTTGGTCTGCTGTTGCCACGCACAGAATGGATGTGGCCTTGATAAGATCTTTCTCGTGTGTGTCACGATGCTCAGAAATCCCTGGCAGGGCTGCAAGGGGTGCAGGCAGCACTGCCTCCCTCCTGCCTGCTCCTGGGGCAGGAAGCCTTTGAAAAAGCTGCTTGTGGGACCTACATCTGCCCTAAATCCCCCATTGCAAGCCCCATTTTTCAAGGCATCTGAAGGTGGGCAGCCCCAAAATCTAGAGGTGTCCAGGGCTGCTGGTTGAGTTCTGATCTTTAATAAATTCAGAACAATGAAAACACAAGGAACTGGATTCAGAGCCATGTCAAGAGCCAAAATTAACTTGGAGTCCTTTTTCATAGAGGGGTTTGACCATATTTCTTCTGACAGCAGAACAAAACATAATTAAACTGCCACGATCCTGGGTACAGTTTGCTCTGACACTGTTCTAGTTCATAGCAGCAATTAAGCAATAGAATAGAAGCACTTAGGTTGTGTACCTGGTTCATTAACCCTGCCCTGTCCTCCTGCCTGTCCAAAAACCTTTGGGTTTTGGTGCCAGCAAATGTGTCAGGTGGGTTTTGGGTTGCAGGAACCTTCCAAGGCTTGGAGCATCTTCCCAAAGGTTCAGGCACCCAAAGAAGGAGTTTACAAAAGGTTGCGAGAGTCAACTCAAAGCCTGGCAGCTTGTTTAGTTTCCCAGCTGCTTCCCAAAAGATGTTGGGTCCCTCCAATGAAGGTGGGATGGGGCTGAGCCTCCATCTCACTGGGGTCAGTGTCTGGCAACAGCATAAGAACTGGATCAGGAAGGAGAAAGCAAAACACAAGGCAGGAGGGGAGGATCAGAAATACCAAATGCCCAAGTATCTCTGTGGGGAAGTGAAATCTTTTCCAGCCAGTGTTTTCCAAGGACTGAGGAAATCCCAGCACTTCCCCATCTCAGCTGCCAACACTGATTTCGGTCTTTTATTTGCTGCCTGTTTAATGACTGAAATGTCTTCTGAAAGGAGAGGTTGAGAAGAGCAAAATAAGATCCGTGACTCTGTGAGGTTCCTGGCCCAGGAAAGCACAGGAATGATACTGGGAGTATCTCCAGTTATTGCTCCCACCACATAGTTCTTGACCTGAGGCTCATGCCCAACTCTGCCTCCCTGCAAATATCACCCTGATTTGTTGGCCAATTATAAGCTAATTGGGGAGAAGGGAAAAGTGCTCTAATAAAGGATGTTCCTGCAAGTTTGGGGAAAACCCCTGGGGTCTGCCTGGCTCCCCACAACGTGGCAGCCACCCCGGGTCACCCAAGGCAGCACCCATGGGTCTCCTCTGTGGGGCAGCACCGAAGCCACCACCAACCTGGAAAAAAAACCCAACCCACTGGAGCTGCTGCTCCAGCACTGCTGGAATTTGACCACATCAGGATGTACCTCCCAAAGGCTGGAGCACCACCCAGGGCAGGGCTGCCCTGGCCAAAAATGAAGGGTCTCAACTGTGTTTGGTCCTTCTGGCAACAGCAGGAAACCTTCAAATGACACAAGGGTTTTGTGGGGGTTGGTTTTCCTCCCTCGTCACTACCCCACAGGATTTCAGGTGGTTTTCAGACACACAAGCAGCAGTGGTACCAGCCAACCTACTGCTCAGGAAGAGTTTTAAGTTAACTCTGAAGAGTTGTCAGAGTTAATGCCAAAGATGTACTTGTAGGGACATCTCTGGGTTTGTGGGTATTTTCTGGCCTAGGGCACCCCCAGAAGAACTTTTTTCACCCTCAGAATAGTTAGATATTGGGATCATCTCATGAGGGAACTGGGAACCTCCCAGTTTTAAGACCCAGCTTGCCAGGGTGCTGGGCCCTCTCATTGAAACTCATTACCTAGAAAGGTTGGACCCAATGATCTTTGAGGTCCCTGGCATTTTGTGATTCTATGATTCACCTCAAGGCATCTTGGAAGGCTGTTTTGACGGAGGTCTATGACATATACATAAACATATAGAATAAATAACATTACATAACAGTCTGTAGTATAAAGTAAATAATACCTAATAAAGAACATATCATGAAATTCCCAGTTGGACGCCGTGATCTTAGGGGTCTTTTCCAACCATGACAGCTCTGTGAGCAGAATAATATCTAACAAATATCTAGAGTTTCCCCCTCTAAAAAAGCCAAGAGCTCCCCAGCTGGGCTTCAACACCAAAACCAAAGCAGCCAAGCTGTGGAAACTGAGGCAACCCACATGACTCCCCCAATGGAGCCGAGCAGGGGCAGAGCTGGCAATTAAATCTTTCTGCAGAGCAGGAAAGATGACGGATAAGGAGGCAATTCCCTGCTGGGCTGAGGTGAGTCATGAGCAACCTGGAGAGTGGGGAAACCAAAAAAAAATGAACAGGCAGACCTCTGTGACAGGGAGGTGCTTGGGTTTCCTGCTGGGGTGTGCAGAGAGGGTATAAAAGTGCTCCAGTCCCCAGGAGATTCATTCCCTCCTCGTCCCTTCGCTGCACGAGCGTCTCAGGTAGGAGGAGGGATCTGGGGGGGCTTTGGGGGTTCCAGGCTCTCTGGGATGTGGTTGGGTTTGGAGAGGGCTGAGCTTTGCATGGGGTTGGGGTTTGCTTGAGGTGGGGTGAGGAGGGAGCCCAGGGGATGCTGGAGGAGAGCAGAGGGGGTTGGATGTAGGGGGAGGCTCGGGGCTGTTGTTCTCCTCCCTCTCGTTGGACTTGGTGATCCTAGAAGTCCTCTCCAGCCATGATGGTTCTGTGTCTCTGATTCTCTGGAGAAGGATGGCTCTGCTTTGGGAAGGCAGCCCTGGTCATCCAGGCTGGCAGCTCTGGATGCTGCCAGTGCCTTCAGCAGTGGCTTTGGTGGGACAATCCCATGGGTCCTGTGAGAATCTGGCGTGAGTTTCAAAGACCATTCCGGCATCTAGCTAAGACTGGAGAACTGCACATCCAGATTCCTCTCCCCTGGAAGAGCTGAAGGAGGAAAGGGAAGCCCTGACAGCCCTTCTCTCCCCACAGATCACCCCGAAACACGACCATGTGCTCCCGCCAGGACAGGGACCACTGCCACAGGCACGAGCGCGACAGCGGCGGCGGGCGGCTATATACGGGGGGGGGGTGCGGGGAGGGC